TTGCTTTAATTGTCCAGTATCTTCTGCCCGAAGGCAGCAGTTCAAACAGGGAATGTTCAGGATGTGACAAGTCCTGCAAAATGTTCTTTGCTTTGCTTTTTTCAAACATCGAGAACTATACAATTCCTCCAGGAATGGGAGAGGACAGCCAATGATCTTCTGGGCTGTACTAACAACTCTCTGGAGCTTCCTCTCCACAGCCATACAACTGGCAAACCAGGCACAAACACAATATGTTAAAATGCTCTCTATTGAGCAGCGATAGAAGGAGATCATTGTTTTCTCACTCAAGAGGCTAATTTCAAATCAGCAGGGGTTATAGTTCTGCTTCTGAGGTTCTTTTGGGTCTGGTCTGGGGAACCGCAATAGTGATGAGCCAAAAAATACGAAAACGGATCCTTTCCTTCTAAGGAGAAATAACTAAAGATAGTCTTCAGACTGGCGGCACCTAGCTGTGGAAAATCCTCCCCAGGGACCTTTGGTTGATGCCTACTTCAGCAATCTTCAGGTGCTAGGTAGGCTTCCTAATTTCCTATCCTTGAGAAAGTGGGGGGATGGCATCTGTAGTGGCACGCTGGGAATTTCCCTTGGTTTCTGTGGTCTTCACCATAGAGTTTACGGGAAGCTCCTAGAGTGGCACCCAGACAGGACATCATATCAGCCCTAAATTCCACCTTCCCCACTGCCCCCCAAAGTCTCCCAGCATTTGCTTCAGCTATGTTGGGAACTCTTGTGCCGGGTGAAGAAAATTCTATTCTCCAGAGCTGTTCTGACATCAGTTGGATCCTATGGATCCCTTCTATTATCAGCAGCAACTCCCCCCCCAAAAAAATACAGAAACCTCCCTGATACAAGGAGAGCACAGGCACCACCATTAGTAGAACAGAAAAGGACAACTCGAATGATAAAAGGGCTGGAACACTTTCCCTATGAGGAAAGGTTAAGGTGCTTAGGGCTCTTTAGCTTGGAGAAACGATGACTGAGGGGTGACATGATTGAGGTTTATAAGATTATGCATGGGAAAGAGCAGGTAAAGAAAGAGGTACTTTTCTCCCTTTCTCACAATACAAGAACTCGTGGGCACTCCATGAAATTGCTGAGCGGTCGGGTTAGAACGGATAAAAGGAAGTACTTCTTCACCTAAAAAGTGATTAACACTTGGAATTCACTGGCACAGGAAGTGGTGGCGGCTACAAGCATGGACGGCTTCAAAAGGGAATTAGATAAGCATATGGAGCAGAGGTCCATCAGTGGATATTAGCCACAAGATATAGATAGGGGCTCTGGGGCAAGTGATGCTCTGTCTTCTTGGTGCTTGGGGGGGGGGTCAACAGTGGGAGGGCTTCTAATGTCCTGGCCCCACTGGTGGACCTCCTGATGGCACTGGTATTTCTGGCCACTGTGAGACACAGAGTGTTGGACTGGATGGGCCATTGGCCTGATCCAACATTGGCGTCTCTTATGTTCTTATGTAGATCCAGACACAGAGGGATCCAACCCTGTATGCTTTTTGAGTTTTAAAACTTTTTAAAGGCTGGTTTGTGCGGCAAAGTGGGCAGAGTCTCAGATTAAGACCCAGGAGTCCGAGCTTCAAACCCTCACTCTGCCCCGGAAACTGGTTGGGCGACCTTGGAGCCAGTCACACTCTCTTGGCCTGACCTACCTTACAGGGTTGTTGTGAGGATCAATGGAGGAGAGGAGAACGATGTAAGCGACTTTGGGTCCACATTGGGGAGAGGGGCGGGGTATAAAGGAAGGGAATAAAATAAACAAACATGGGCGGAGTTACGATGTTGACTGGTGGGCTCTACTTATTTTGTTCATTCATTCACCTGCGTCACAATCGATGCTAAATTGCCCTGGAATAAATCCACTGAAATCAAGAAGAAGAGGAGAAGACGAGATTGGATTTATTCCCCCCCGCCCTTCACTCGGAGTCTCAGAGCTGCTTACAAACTCCTTTCCCTTCCCCTCCCCACAACAGACACCATGTGAGGTAGGCGGGGCTGAGAGAGCTCTTTCCAGAAACGGCTCTTTTTCACCTCTGACAGAACCATGGCTTGCCCAAGGTCATCCAGCAGCTGCGAGTGGAGGAGTGGGGAATCAAACCCGGTTCTCCCAGATTAGAGTCCGTGCACTCAACCACTACGCCAAACTGGCTCAAAGGGCGCAGACTGGAGCAACTCTGCAAAGGATCGCACTGTTAATCTGCTTCTATGTCAACCCCACTTTTCAGCCAAACGTCACTTCCCCGAAGCAGCTCATTGGCATCTAAACCTTGCACAAAAGATGATAAAAGGTCCAGGACAGAACCCTCCTTGGGGGGGCGCCCCTCAGCTGGGGAGGGATCCTGACAAAACGGAGAGGCTGCTTGGAGACCAGTTGGAAGCCAGAGTGGGGGGGGGGGCTACTAGCCGGCTCCTGATCTAGGCATTTGGGGAGGGTTGCCCGCCTGCTTCCAGCCCTCCCTGGAAACCAGAAGGAGGGGAATCCAATTCCTGTCACTCTGTAGCTTAGGCGGGGATTAAAAATTCTTGATATACATTTCACACTTCTTCCAGTGCATCACAAAGACACACACTGAGGTTTTGGGCAAGATATTAAAAGGTGAACAGTCACTGGCTGAAAAGACACGGCTCAGTCACCGAAAGTTTCTTTAAATGAGTGAACGGCCGCCAGAAGTAAAAACATTTCACGGCCAACAAAGGATCAAACACCTGCCCAAAGATTCTCCAGTTTTGGGAAAGTATTATAACACAAATCAAATCCATTAATAATTTGGACATCACACCCACACCGGAAAACTTATTTTTGAACAGTTGGGTAGCTCAGGACTCTGCTCCTTCAGTGGTGGAGAGGGTCTCCATTCTGCTATTTGCAGCCAAAACTGTCATTGCAACCCACTGGAAAACAACAATGACACCTACAGTTTCACATTGGCACAAGAAATTGTGGGATTTATATATTATGGCAAAACTCTCGGATAACCTTACGCGACTTGACAAAATTCCTGCCCAAACCTCCTTTATTGCTATTTGGTTCCCTATACTGGAGTACTTACAACAATTTGATGATACCCCTAAGATAATAGACACTTTACGCCTCTGGTAGCAAGTATATTAGTTCTGGAAATAGGTATTGTTAGACACTGCATATTGTAACATCTACAATTTTTTATGGTTATGTATGATAAGACTTGATTGATAGTAAATTTATCTTCTGTACTTAAAAAAAAAACAAAGGATCAAACCAAAAGGCAATGGTGGTGGGGGTGGGGAACCCGGATTGGCATCAAGACATGAGTCAGGTGCCCATGGTGGAGAGTGTGGTCGCCTCTGGAAAGGGGCAGGGACAGGTGCTTCTCGGGGCTTCAACCCTGGTGAGACCCCCGCCCAGCAATGCTGTTGATCTCTCAGTTTGCTCAGAGGACCCAAAGAGATCAGATGCAGTACGAGAGGATTCTCAGTTTGCACGGTCTACTTTTCCAAGCTTAAGGAGGCCCAGTGAGGAAGCCTCGGCCACGGGGCCCCCAAAACACATTCAAAGCTACCTAGTGCAGAATGAGACAACTGATCTACCTAGCTCGGTACTGTCTGCAAGGGGTTGGGCAGAAACAGGCCTTCTCCAGCACCTGCTTCCAAAGATACCTTTAACCAGAGACGTCAGGAATTGATCCTAGGATTTTATCTGCATGTGCCTTATCAGCAAGCTACAGCCCTTCCTGGACTGGACGTTATCTTCTGAACACAGGGAGAGATGAGGACGGGGGGCAAGGGGAAGGGGAGGGGGAAAAGGGAGTCTTGCTGATGAGATCCTGCTATGGGCCACAACCGTACGCGGGTTTTACATCGATGGAATTTACAGAAGGGCTTCTCTACATGATTTCAGTAAGCAGTTGCTGAAACTGTTCAGAAGAAGAATTAGCCACAAGGTATAAATAGGAACTCTCAGTCTGGGGCAAGTGATGCCCTGTATTCTTGGTGCTTGGGGGAGGGGGGCAACAATGGGAGGGGCTTCTAGCGTCCTGGCCCCCACTGCTGGACCTCCTGATGGCACCTGGTATTTTTGGCCACTGTGTGACATAGAGTATTGGACTGGATGGGCCACTGGCCTGATCCATCATTGGCTACTCTTACATTCTAAGAAGAAGAGACTGAATTTATACCCCGCCCCTCACTACCCAAAAGAGTCTCAGAGTGGCTTACAATCTCCTTTCCCTTCCCCTCCCCACAACAGACACCCTGTGAGGTAGGTGGGGCTGGGAGAGCTCTTTCATGGACTGCCTTTGAGAGAACAGCTCTGAGAGAACTTGTGAGTGACCCAAAGTCACACCAGCAGCTGCATGTGGAGGCGTGGGGAATCAATCACGGTTCTCCCAGATTTGAGTCTGCACTCCTAACCAATACACTGAACCATTTATAAATGGTTTTCTCCTTAACTTGCCTTCAGCCATTTAAGGCTTTAGAAGTATCGCAAATTATGACTGGAATCTAGCCGATAGCCAGCACTGCCTGCAAAGAAATAGCGCGGCATGTTTTCTCCAAGTTCATTTTCAGCTGCTCACGAGGCAGCAGCATTCTGATTCAGTTGCTGCCTGAGTCAGCCCGTGAGCAGCCTTCAAGGGTGGGTGCAGGGAAAATGCATTGCAGCAGTCCATCCAAGAGGCTACCATGGCATGAAAGATAGCAACCTGGCCCACCTTCTGTAAGAAATATGCCCCACTGAATAAAACTGACAAAAGCTACCGCCGGCCAAAGCTTCCAGAAAGGTATGCAAAGCAGAATTCCAAAACAGTACCGGCAGGGTACCCGCAGAAGCCGATTCAGGAACAGGAACAATTTATACCTGACCCTTGAAAGAGAAAGTAATCTTGCTGAGCGCTTCTCAATACGCTGACCGTCAACACCCATCATCTGAAATCATCGGTCCAGCCAGCACGGCAGCCTTTCAGCATCTGTTTCACACTTTCCTATTCCCACAGCTCCCTGATGGTAACTTACCGGATCGCTCTCATTGGTACGGAAGATCGCTCTGGGGGTCTCTGGAGAAAGCTGAGCATCCTGGATCACAGCGGTACTTCGCCAGGCCCTGGGTCCGCCCCGAAGAAAGCAGTCAGGTTCTAACTAGAGACAAAAAACAACAGATCATCTGGCAACAAGTGACAGTCTCCTTTGGCAGAGAATGACAGTTTCTGAAGGGCCAAATCCCCCACCCTCCAGATGATGTCCAGAGGAGGCAATACACATCCTCAAAAAAGAGGGGGGGGGGAGATCTAAACCAACTAAGCAGAAACCTCCCAAGGAAGTGTAGAAAACGTATTGAGGGCCAAAAGTTAAAAACATAAGTAAGTGTACAAAAGAGTGTTTATTAGAAAGACATATAAAACCTTGTAAAAGGTAAAGGTACCCTTGCTCGAAAGCCAGTCGAGTCCGACTCTAGGGTTGCGGTGCTCATCGCCGTTTTAAAGCCGAAGAGCCAGTGCTGTCCGAAGATGTTTCCATGGTCATGTGGCCGGCATGACTAAACGCCAAGGTGCACGGAACGCTGTTACCTTCCCACTGAAGCGGTACCTATTTATCTACTTGCAATGTCTTGCTTTCGAACTACTGGGGTGGCAGGAGCTGGAACTAGAGACGGGAGCTCATTCCGTCATGCGGCACACTCGGGTCTCGAACTGCTGAAACATTCCACAGCCTGCAGTTCAGCGTCTTAACGACTTGAGCCACTGCAGCTCCAAAAACCTTGTAGGGGCCCAAATAAAGCCTCATAAAATGTTCAAAGTTACAAATACACCAAAAAGGACAGTGTGTGACCTGACGTGTTTCGGCCCACAAGAGCCTTCTTCAGAGGTCAAAAAGTACCAAATGCAACAAAGTTCCTCTAACACATTTAAGGCAATTAACAATAAATCAAATAGGACCAAAACTGGAATGTTCCAACATGGAATTGAATGACAAACCAAAAGGTTTCTATTTGGGGCCACAAATATGTAACATATATTGATGGCACATTGTCCCTGACAAGCCAATTTTATTTGCACTCTTAGGACCTAAACTGGAAGGTACATATTATTTCCAGTATATACAACTGCTTCTGACACAGGGCCAGATATATTTGTGGCCCCAAATAGAAACCTTTTGGTTTGTCATTCAATTCCATGTTGGAACATTCCAGTTTTGGTCCTATTTGATTTATTGTTAATTGCCTTAAATGTGTTACAGGGACTCTGCTGTTACTTGACCTCTGAAGAAGGTTATTATGAGCCGAAACGTGTCAGATCATACACTGTCCTTTTTGGTGTATTTGTAACTTTGAACATTTTATGAGGCTTTATTTGGGCCCCTACAAGGTTTTTATATGTCTTTGTAATAAACACTCCTTTGTACACTTACTTATGTTTTTAACTTTTGGCCCTCCATACGTTTTCTAAACTTCCATGGGAGGTTTCGGAGGAGGCAATGACCTAGTTGCAGAGTACCTGCTTTGCACTGTATGGGGGCGAGTAGGTCAAAACCCTGTCTCCTTGGCTTGGAGAGGGCCTGTGGCAAATGGCAGAGCATCTGCTTGGCATACAGAAGGTCCCAGGTCCAATCCCTGGCATCTCCATCAGGGAAGGCCCATGGCTCAGTAGTAGAGCATCTGCTTGGCATGCAGAAGGTCCCAGGTCCAGTCCCCAGCATCTTCATTTGAGAGAGGCCATGGCTCAGTGATAGGGCATCTGCTTGGCATGCAGAAGGTCCCAGGTCCAGTCCCCGGCATCTCCATTTGAGAGAGGCCATGGCTCAGTGATAGGGCATCTGCTTGGCATACAGAAGGTCCCAGGTCCAATCCCCGGTATCTCCATCAGGGAGGGCCCATGGCTCAGTGGTAGAGCATCTGCTTGGCATGCAGAAGGTCCCAGGTCCAGTCCTCAGCATCTCCATTTGAGAGAGGCCATGGCTCAGTGATAAGGCATCGGCTTGGCATGCGCAGAAGGTCCCAGGTCCAATCCCCGGCATCTCCATCTGGGAGGGCCCATGGCTCAATGGTAGAGCATTTGCTTGGCATGCAAGTCCCATGTTCTCCACTTACCGGACCTGGCAGGAGGTGATGTGACAGATCTCTGCCTTTGTTTTATAGAACCCTGGCGTGGATGGCCCAGGCTAGCCCGATCTTGTCAGATCTCGGAACCTAAGCAAGATCGGCCTTGGCTAGTATTTGGATGGGAGGCCTCCAAGGAATACCAGGGTCGTGATGCAGAGGCAGGCAGTGGCAAACCACCTCTGAAACGTCTCTTACCTCTATAACAAGTCTAGCTCGCCACCTAGGAGTACATAACGCTAAAGAGCTAGAACTTCTGGCTGCCAGACAATCCTATAATCTCCTGGCTTTACTACACACAATGCCGAATGATAATTAATTAGTTCTGCCTCAGGCCCCGGAGACTAGAACTTCTGGCTGCCAGACAATCCTATAATCTCCTGGCTTTACTACACACAATGCCGTATGATAATTAATTCATTCTGCCTCAGGCCCCGGAGAGCCACTGCCAGTCTCAGTAGACCTTGATAGACCAACAGTCTGATTCAGTATAAGGCAGTTTTGTATATGTTTGCATGTGGGTGCGGCCAGACGGCGTGCTGACAGCGGGTTAAACTGCTCCGGTTCTAACCAGGTTATATTTCATCTGGATAATCGCGATCGCACTTACCTCCCTTATCCCACCTCACCGCGCAGTCACATCGCTCCCTGGCACCTACACTACCGACGCGCGGGAGCGTGCGTCGGCGGGTTTTTAATTTTTCTCTCTCAGTTTGTGCATGTGCATAGGCGCCCCTCCGTAGAATGGGGGGGGGATTATCATGGCGCATGCACAGAACCAATGAAAAAAGGAAAAGAACTGTAACAATTTAGCACTTGGTAATATAGTCATACTGGAGCTGCGGTGGCTCAAGTGGTTAAGACGCTGAACTGCAGGCTGTGGAAGGTCAGTAGTTCAGCGGTTCAAGACTCGGTTGCCGCAAGACAGGGTGAGCTCCTGTCTCTAGTTCCAGCTCCTGCCAACCTAGCAGTTCGAAAGCAAGAAATTGCAAGTAGATACATAGGGACCACTTCGGTGGGAAGGTAACAGCGTTCCGTGTGCCTTGGTGTTTAGTCATGCTGGCCACATGACCACGGAAACGTCTTCGGACAGCGCTGGCTCTTCGGCTTTGAAACGGAGATGAGCACTGCAACCCTAGAGTTAGATTCGACTGGCTTTCGAGCAAGGGAGACCTTTACCTTTACCTTTAATATAGTCATAAATCATAATATACAATAACAAAAAATAAGTAATATATATAGTGAATGTAGACGGTGGTCTCTGGAATGGTGTGCCGTTTCGACAATGATCTTCTTCTGAACAAGGATGTGTACATAAACTGTCTTTCAACAATTCATTTCTCTTGGTGACGTATTGAAAATATAATGTTGATTCACTTCATCATAAAACTATGCTTACAGCTATGTTCTTCAATGGGCTATTCAGCAATTATAGCCCATGAAGGCATTCAGCAATTATAGCCCATTGAAGAACATAGCTGTAAGCATAGCTTTATGATGAAGTGAATCAACAGTATATTTTCAATACGTCACCGAGAGAAATGAATTGTTGAAAGACAGTTCATGTACACATCCTTGTTCAGAAGAAGATCATTGTCGAAAAGGCACACCATTCCGGAGACCACCGTCTACATTTACTATATATATTACTTATTTTCTGTTATTGTATGATCTATGAATATATTACCAGGTGCTAAATTGTCACAGTTCTTTCCCTTTTTTCATTGGTCTTATTACTATGCCCATTCTTGTAACTATTATTGCATGCGCAGAACCACCAGGGCTGACCTCCGCCTATACGTGCACCACCGACGCATTAAAAAAATGGCGGGCGAAAAGCGGAAGCCTCGGGCAGCTTTCGAGCGGGGAGGGGGTTTAAACCGGAAACCTTACCCCCTTGACTCCAGATTCACTATTCTGGCAGCAGTCTGACTCCATGGCCTCAGAACAGGAGGAGGATGCATACACTCATGTCCTCCAATCAACCTTCATCCTACATTGTCTGCAATGTGTGTGTGTATCCTCAGATGCCTCCACACACCCACCCTGCTGAGGTTAGGATTCACTGGTTCCCAAAGTGGGCAATACCACCTCCTGGGGGGTGCCGGAACGATCCAGGTGGGCTGGAACAATCCAGGTGCAGATCCACAAACTGCATCTTTTGGTCCACTTCTTGAAGGTAGACGTCCAGGGGGGCCCTGAGTAAAAAATTTTCTGAAAAGGGGGTGGTAGGCCAAATAAGTCTGGGAACCTCTAGGTTACATGGTCGTGGCATCTGCCAAGGCGGCGCCTGCAGAGCTGCTTTGGCAGCTAGACAGATACCACAATAACTCCTGCTGCCAGTCACAAGAGACGATAGAGTTGGAGGAACCAATGCCCTCTCGCAGTGCAAGATAAATTTCATATGGCCCCTGGGAAAGGCTTTGTTTCATAGAGCATAACCAGGGTGAGGAATAAAGCGCCAACAGTAATCCTTTACTCATGGTTGTCCTATTGCCTCGAGGCCTTGGACTCACAGAACCATAGAGATAGAAGGGACCTCCAGGGTCATCTAGTCCAGCCCCCTGTACAATGCAGGAAATTCACAAATACCTTCCACTCACAATCCCCCAGAGACCCCTGCTCCATGCCCAGAAATGGCAAAAACCCCAAAAACCACCCTCCAGGATCCCCTGGCCAAATTGGTCTGGAGAAAAATTGCTTCCTGACCCCAAAGTGGCGATCAGCATTTCCCTGGGTGTGTCAGAAAGGCCATGAGGACTAAGCACTGATGCAACCTTTCCTGCCCTCCCTCTCGTGATCTGCCTAAATTCACAGAATCAGCATAGCTGTCAGATGGCCATCAACCCAGAAGGTAGCTAGGGGTCAAACATCCTCTCCTCTCAAAATCCTTTGATTAGGGATTCCAGGGACCTTCCGCACCTCTAGCATATATGTTGCTGCTGGTGAGTCATGGTAACCACAAGGAAGGGCTAATGGTCTTGGGCCTCAGATGCACGAAAACCAGGGCTATTTTTGGGCAGGAACGCACAGGAACGGAGTTCCGGCTGGCTTCCGAGTTGGCCATGCCCACTACAGCCAAAACCTCTGCGCATGCGTGGCTACAGAGGGAAGGCCTGGAGAGTGACACCCCCCTGGCGACTCTGAGCCGGGCAGGCCAGGGGGGTCCTGGAAGGATTGGGAAGGCATTTTAATGCCTCCCTGTGCCTTCCCCAGCCTCTCCAAGGGCCAGCTTATCCGGGCAAGCCAAGGGAAGGCATGGGGTTGTGGCCTAATATGCTAACGAGTTTCTGCTGTTGGGTGTGGCCTATTATGCTAATGCGTTCCTGCTGGGCTTTTTCTACAAAAAAAGCCCTGACTAAAACGCTGCCTAAAAATAAGTGCACCTCCCAGTTTAAAAACACCCGGAGCTGAGCAAACCATAAGCGTGGTCTTGAACCCATGAAATCCAGAGACAAAACCCAGCCCTTGAAGCTTCCAAGAGCTCAGCCAATTCCCCCAGAGCAAAAAAAGCAATCAGGCGGCAGAACCAAGCCCAGCCTAGAATCCGTAAGCCCGTAAGGTGGAGCTGTTTCTATTGGAATCTTTACTCCCCGTTAGGCATTTGAATTATACTGCTCAGTCACAGGCCGAGAAAGTGAGAATTCCTGTTTTGCCACAGATGTGGAAGGGCTTGGAGGAATGAGGTGTGCTTAGCCTTGGTGCAAATATCTGCCCCAGCTCCACCGGGATGCACCCCAGTAATGTATTTGTGCAACACCAAGGGAGGGAAACCATGAATGAAAGAGGATACACACCTTGCGTCCCTGGCAAAGAAGCCTTTTCAGAGTCCGCAGCATCGTCCCTGCCAATAAAAACAGAAAGCCTTGCCCAAAACATCCTACAGAAGGTCATTTGTTTCATGCATGTATACTTTTTTTAAAGTTCAAAGATACTGTAGTGCAGGGGTGTCAAACATAATGCCCGAGGGCTGATTTCTAAGATACACAAAGTGCTAGACTTGCAGAAAGAAGCAGAAACATTAACTTACCAAAATAGGTGGCATACATCCTGCAACACTATTCTCTCACAGGACTCCTGGGATCGTATATGGACATCCCCCCCCCCCCCCCGGTTTCGTTCTAGAATTACATCTATGAAGCTACAAACATTCAAAATATTGGTACCTAACTCCTTGTAAACTGGCTCACATGAACCCATTGTATAACCCAAAGTGCTGGAAGAAATGTGGTATCACAGGAGATTATACACATTGTTGGATTCTCTGTCCTAAAATTCTCCCCTTCTGGAACGACGTACTAGAGCAGATTAGGTCCTTCAATGATGTGGGTATTGTTCCTTCACCTGAACATATATTTTTGAACAGTTGGGCTACAGGCGGTATTAGTCTCTCCATCATAGAAATAATCTCAATACTGCTATTTGCGGCTAAAACTGTTATTGCCACACAATGGAAAACGACAATGACACCCACACTTTCACAATGGCATACAAAGTTGTGGGATTTAGATATCACGGCTAAACTCTCGGACAATCTTACGCCTTTTGATAAATGTCCTACCCGCACCAACTTTACTACAATATGGTTCCCTATCCTAGAATATATTTCCAAACAACAGGACATCCCTCCAGTGACGGGTGCCTCGTGGCTTTGGTAAAATAGGTGACTTCACCCTGGCAAAACAGAACAAGAAACTATTATGGTGTCTGCACCCGTATGCTAGTTCTTAAGATCTGTATACACTCTTAGTCTTCTTGAAACGAATGTGACTGTGTACTGGTTTAATAGTTCATCTCATTCTGTTTACTGTTATCTGCTATCCACAATGATACAACTACTTGTAAATTTGTTGTTTACACTGACTATGTATTTGAACATAAAACTTAATAAAAAGCAGGGGTTGGTTCGTAGAAAAAGAGCTAGGGGAACTCATTAGCATAACTCATTAGCATATACCACACCCCCTGACATCACCGGAAGTGTGTGATAAGGCCACACCCCCTGACATCACCGGAAGTGTGTCATGAGGCCACACATCCCGCCCCCAACGGTCCCGGCCGCCGCCGCCGGCTTTGCAAGGAAGCCCCGCGAAGGCCCTCCTTGGCCCCAGGCAGGCAGGGGTGGGGAGAGGCAGGGAGGAAGCAACTTACCCTCCCTCTTCTCCTGCCTCCTCCTGGCTGAATGAGGGCCGGAAGCGGGGCGGCCGGAAGCAGGGGGCGGGGCTTCGTCATGTGCCCCGCCCCCCATACCTCACCCAGGGAAACTGCGATCCCCCGCCGAAATGAACTCTGATAAAAAGTATTTTACAAAAAAAAAACAACACATAAGGCCCGAGGGGTCGGAAACCGGCCAGGGCTGTTATGCGGCCCGCGAGCAACTGGTGCAAGGGAGGGGACAGGAGGCTGCTTGGGGGCGGGCGGGTGGAGCCACTCCAATTGTGGCTTCAGCACGGCAGAAGCACCTCATCTGCCACAGTCAAGCAGAACCCTTTCGCTTCAGGGACAGCCTCACTGGTAAGTTGGGAGCCACCGCAGCCGCATTCATCCCTCTCCACTCAGACTGCAGCTCCCGGGATGCTGTCCCAGATGGCCTAAGGGACCAGCGTTTGCACGTGGCGGGAGAGAGGGTGCAGATGATCCTCTGTTGGGGCATGGGAGCGTCTGCCCAGTGCTGCACCACTAAGAACATAAGAGAAGCCAACGTTGGATCAGGCCAATGGCCCATCTAGTCCAACACTCTGTCACACAATGGCCAGAGATACCAGGGGCCATCAAGAGGTCCAGCAGTGGGGACAGGACCCAGTCTCCAGTCCTCCCATGTGGATTTCCCTCTACACCCCCCTCCCAGCCCATGGGGCCTTGCAGTGAAGAAGAAGAAGAAGAGATGGGATTTATACCCCGCCCTTCACTCGGAGTTTCAGAGCGGCTCACAAACTCTTTTCCCTTCCCCTCCCCACAACAGGCACCCTGTGAGGTGGGTGGGGCTGGGAGAACTCTGACACAAACTGCTCTTTTTCAAGGACAGCTGTGCCAGAGCTTGTGACTGACCCAAGGTCACATCAGCAGGTGCAAGTGGAGGAGTGGGGAATCAAAAACCCGGTTCTCCCAGATTAGAGTCCGCGCACTTAACCACTACACCAAACTGGAGCTTAACAGTTGCTGTCCTTTATAAAGTTTATATCTCCGGTACCCGGCATTGCATTTTATGGCATGCACGGCCTGGCCCGACAAAGTGACACTTGTGTCGGATCTGGCCCTCGTAACGAGTGAGTTTTACACCTCCGCTGTAGTGCCATCGCAGACGAAACCCTCGAGGAGGAGTAGGGAATGGTGTTGTGAGGGAAAGCTATCTGCGCTTAGGGTATCCAACTGGCCGCAGGATCAATTCCCTTCCTAGGAAGGGGACGTCACGTGCCAGTACTGGAACCTGACTTGGAGCGCCTGCTGGGTGGTATTTATGCTTGGAGGCTGTACCTAAGATGGCTATAAAAGCAGGAATGGGAAACAGCAGCAGCTGGGCTTTATTGGGGCCTGGAGCTGCTGGAAGCTGTTGCTGCCAAGAAGCCCTGAGCAACTGAAGAGACATGAGGATCTTTACGCTGTTGTTTGCTTTATGTTCTGCCAGGAAAGTATCTCTGTGCCGCAGCGCCGTGCCGAGCATCCTTTGACCACCCAAATCCTCTAGAAAGGTTCCTTGCCTCAGGCAAGAAAATGGCCCTCTGGCATAACAAATGCGCATCCTAGCTTTGTACAATACCAAGGCAGTCAGCCAAGAACTTATATGCTCCGGTTTGACTTGTTGAATCAGAGTGCCGGTCAACTTTGGCCCAGCGTTTTGTTTCCGATCGTGGCCAGCAAAGATGCTCATGGGAAGCCCCTCTTCGGCTGTTTATCTCCAGCATCTGCTATTCAAAAGCAGACTGCCTTGGAATATGGAGGTTTCATTGAGCTGGCACTAACAACTCGCAGATTCATCCTACAGAGGGAATTAGATAAGCATATGCAGCAGAGGTCCATCAGTGGCTATTAGCCACAAAGTATAGATAGGACTCTTGGTCTGGGACAAGTGATGCTCTGTATTTTTGGTGCTGGGGAGGGGGGCAACAGTGGGAGGGCTTCGAGTGTCCTGGCCCCACTGCTGGACCTCCTGATGGCACCTGGTATTTTTGGTCACTGTGTGACAGAGTGTTGGACTGGATGGACCACTGGCTGTTCTTATGTTCTTACATACATCTGTCCAGCTCATTTTACACTGTGCCTATTTAATTATGCCCAGTGTGCTGCAGTGGTGGAACAGGCAAATTCTATCTTAGGCAGTGTTCCCTCTAAGATGAGTTAGTGTGAGCTAGCTCACAGATTTTTAGCCTCCTGCTCACACATTTTTGTCTTCGCTCAGGAAGGATGGCTCCAGAGCAACCTAATTTATGCAGTAGCCAAATTGCTCGCTCACAGCTTTAATGCCAGTAGCTCACAAAGCAGAATTTTTGCTCACAAGACTCCACCACTTAGAAGGAGCATTGATCTTAGGGATTTGGAAAGGGATTGAAAATAAAATGGCTGGTGTTAGAATGCTGCTGTATAGATCTATGGTGCGGCTTCATCCGGAATACTGCGTACAGTTCTGGTCACTGTATCTCAAAAAGGAGATCACAGAGCCGGAAAAAGTACAGAGGAGGGCGACCAAGATGGTTAGGGGGTTGGAACACCTTTCCTATGAGGAAAGGCTGAAGAGTCTGGGACTTTTCAGTTTAGAAAAGAGACCACTAAGGGGGGACATGATAAGAGGTTTATAAAATTACACACGGGGTAGAGAGAGAAATTTTTCTCCCTCTCCCAAAATACTAGAACTCCAGGGCATTCAATGAAGCGGATGAGCAGTAGATTCAGGACAGACAAAAGAAAATACTTCTTTATGCAGAGAGTGATTAAAATGTGAAATTTGCTCCCAGAAGAAGTAGTGATGGCAACAGGCACAGACAGCTTTAAAAGGGGATCAGACAGATTCACGGAGGATAAGTGTTAGTGGCCGCTAGCCATGGTGACTAAAGGGAAACTCCATATCCTGAGGAAGTCAGCCTCTGAATCCTTGTGCTAGGAGCCAATATTAGAGGAAGACCTTGCCCTCTAGGCCTTGTTGTTGGCACTCCAGTGGAACTGGTTGGCCGCTGTGTGAGACAGGATGCTGGATTAGATGGACCCTCACTGGTCTGATCCAGCAGGGCTCTTCCTACGTTCTTATGTGGGGAGGGACTCGGCCTCTATGCCCTGGTGTTGACCCTCCAGAGGAACTGGTTGAGGCCACTGTGTGAGACGGGATGCTGGACTAGATGGACCCTCACTGGTCTGACCCAGCAGGGCTACTCTTCTGTTCTTATCAGGGGGAAGCCTCAGCATCCATGCCCTGTTGTTGGCCCTCCAAAGGAACTGGTTGGACACTGTGTGAGACACGATGCTGGACTAGATGGACCACTGGTTTGATTCAGCAGGGCTCTTCTTACGTTCTTCTGATGTTCAAACAAAATAAACCCTCGCTTTAAGAGTCAGCTTTGCAGTGATTACATTTCAGTTTTAGCCTGGCCCAACAAAATCAACAAGGAGTCCCGTGACACCTCAGAGACAAAAGATCCATTGCAGCTCAGGTTTCAGTGGCCATAAGAACTTAGGCCACACAATGAGTCTGTTAAATCCTTAATGTACCAGAAGACCTAGATTTAAGGCATTTAATTCTATATCCTTTGGGGGAATTCTCCCCATTCTATCTTCCAAAGGGGGAACCCCTAAATTGTGAAGATCAATGTCTCTTATCCTAGAATTCTTGAGGTGATCCTAAAGTGCTCTCCCACTAAACTCTGAATTAGCAGGCATTCCTTGATCACTCCCTAATCCTAACACAGAACATAAAGAAAGCCTCTTGGAAAAGTTCTTTTGTATAATCCTTTCTTCTAAAAAAAGCTTGAAGCCACCTCCATTTCTCGTGACCGTGAACTTAATCATGCATTGAACGCACTCCTAGTGCTAAAAGCAGTTTGAGCGTTAAATCCACAGAGCAAAAATTAAAAACCAGACATCAAATAAAAGCTTTGTTTCTCAAATACAGCTATTCCAATACATAGTTTTCAAAGCAGAATACCAACCTCGCAATAACAGGATGTTCCAAACAGGCTTTAGTTAACAGTAACTATAGACAGAAGGTATGGACGATGAATAAGTCAATATCTTCAGGATGCTTCCTGAGTGAATGAAATGGACAGAAAATGAAGTCAGCTTTGTTGCAAAGGGACTTTAAATGCATGACTCACATCTGAATACCCCACATATACCCCACATATTTCACTTCAAATAGTAAAATAACACTTTCCAAAATTTATTGGTCTGATCCAGCAGGGCTCTTATGTTCTTGAGACAGGCTCCTACATATGAATGTGTTTTAAAGGAACTACAGTAATAAGAGAAGAGATTGGATTCATACCCCGCCATTCACTACCCAAAGGAGTCTCACAGCGGCTTATACTCTCCTTTCCCTTCCCCTCCCCACAACAGACACCCTGTGAGGGAGGTGGGGCTCAGAGAGCTCTTTCGAGAACTGTTCGTGAGAGAACAGCTCTGAGAGAACTTGTGACTGACCCAAGGTCACACCAGCAGCTGCATGTGGAGGAGTGGGGAGTCAAACCCGGTTCTCCCAGATTAGAGTCCGCGCTCCTAACCACTACACCCAAACTGGCTCTCCATCACTTAACCCCCATTATTTATCAAAACAGTAGTTTGCAGTTTGTGTTCTGAAGAACCCAGGAGTTAGACCTGGCATTCCCAAACCCTTACTACAGTTTGTTACATCATGTTTACAGTTGTAAAGGACTGGAACCACCTCTACGGCCTCCCACCACCAATTTCTCTGATGGAAAAAGTTGGAGAATTTGGGGGAATGCTGAAAAGAAACTCCTACGAGAGATGCTTTCTTCTAGAATCAGTAAACACTTATTAACAGAAGCTTTTCCACACACAACGTGTACAGCATGAAAACATTTGAGAACCTTCTGTTTTTCTACAGGTAAAAGTGGGGAATTTTGAGGAGCAAAGGGAAAAAAACCCCTTCTGTGAAATATTTCCTCTTTTTGAATGAGAAACAACCTTCCCTAATAAAGCAGTTCAGTCATTCTTAAGTGTGCCGCATAAAAATGTTTTCCACCTTCAACTTTTATTTTCTTACTTCTCAGATGGCAAAAAATTAAAGATGCCCACGCTAGCACAGGGTGCAGCAGCTCGCAATTCTTTCTCAAGTGTGGGGTATACCTGCAATTTTTCTTTTACATTTCATAAGCACGCCAAATAGTATAATTGTACGTGCCTCCTAACAATTCAGTCCTAAGCACAATTACACCCTTCTAAGTCCACTGAAGTCAATGGGCTTAGAAAGGGTATCACTCTGCCGTAAATTATAAATTATGCATTTTATGTTATTCAATCAGTAGAAGCAGTTTAGATTTTATAGGAAAGTAAGTATTGTATGTATGCTAGATTTTCCCCAGATTTCTTTTTTATTCCCCACAGCTTCAAAACTTCTGGAAATTTTACATCTCTCGTCCTGTTGATCAAAAACTAACAAAAGAATTTCAAAACGACTGCACCCAGGCACTGGTTAAAGTAGCAAGAAACATCTGTTAACAAATTAATCTTTCAGGTTCCCATTTCTGCTGTTTCCTGAAAAGAACCATATATTTATTTATTTAATTTATACCCCGCCCTCCCGCTCAAGGCAGGCTCAGGGTGGCTTACAACAATCATAAATACAATCAAATACAGTTAAAAACCTATCATTAGCATTGATTACTTAAAATAACAATCCTTTAAAATATAACACATAAAACGCTGGAACATACTTAAGCAGCAGGTAACTGTTAGATGTCAGTGCTTTCACACCAGCCCAGTTCTCATTTATTATGGGGCGAGGACAGGCTGGGAACCACAATGGCAAGACCCAGGTTACAGAGTCACTCCTTGGTGCGTAGCTTGAAGCTTGTATTAACCTACTATTGCTCCATTGGTATCTTATTCAGAGAGCGCAGGAGTAAGAAGGAAGATTGATGAACTAGCTCCATAGACGTTCACAGGAACCAACCCTGTCTGTTTCCTCATACCTGCTTAAACCTGGCTGCTCAAGCAGGAAAGTCTTATAGCACTCCAGGAAGGTATTCACATTCAAATTTCAGTGGCCTGCTACAAGACGGGAGACCCAGACCTACAATTGTAGGGTTTCCCTGAAAAATGCTTTCATGGGTCCTTGCTGTTGGAACTTTGGTGCAAGGGTGATATTGTAAAAAGAGATGCTTTCAGCTGATCTTCAGGAATGTGATGAAACATACATACCAAGTACACACATCTTGAAGAGTGCCGTGAACGACTAACCACATAAGCCAGAATTCCCCCCTCTCTTCTGGAATACAAGTATACAGGATTCTAAAATGGAGAATGTTCCACAAACAAGCCAAGCCCACAATTTGCATGGCGAGCAAAACCTTTTCCTGGTTATCCCTGGAACTGTGCCTCATGCACAAAAAAACTTTGGAATTTAAACCGAGCAGTCAATGAAGAAATCTTGACCCCTTGCCCGGAATTAAAGATGTTATCAGCCAATACTCCACACCCACAAATACTAATGGTAGAAAATATGAGCAAATATTCAATTCAGATCTAGAGTATTACTACTACATAGCCAGTGGACAAAGTGCTGGATTAGGACCAGAGAGACCATTAAGTTAGAATCAGAAGGGATTTCCAGGGTCATCTAGTCCAACCCTCTGCACAATGCAGGAAACTCACAAATACTACCCCCCCCATACCCCAAGTGACCTCTGTTCCATGCCCAGATGATGACAAAAAAACACCCAGCCAAACTGGCCTAGATAAAAATTGCTTCCTGACCCCAAGGCGGCGATCAGCATGTCCCTGGGCATGCAAGAAAGGGCCATGAGAACTAAGCACTGAGGCAACCCTTCCTGCGCTCCCTCTCATGATCTGCCTAAGTTCACAGAATCAGCATTGCTGACAGATGGCCATCGAGCCTCTTTGGGTCAGTCACTCTCACACTAACCTGTCTCACAGGACTGCTGTAAGGACAAAAGGAAAAGCGTTTTGTACACTAACCTGAGCTCCACGGAGCAGGAGCGGACTGGGAAGCGCAAATGGCCCTGGAAAAAGTCAAGTGCAAAGGCCCCTGTGATGCTACGAGCCAGTGCTGCAGAGATCACCTGCCTCAGCAGTGCAAAGGGCATTAGCTCACCCCCATTGCTTCCTCCTGGAAACTGGCAGCAGTGTGGGAAGAGACAATTGGTGAACTGACACCAATTATTGTGGCTGATTAAAGGTCTGAGCCAGATGCCCCTGAGATTTTCACAGAGGTTACTAGAGCTTGGTTATGCTTGCGCCCGGCTGCAAGCAACCCTCTAGGCAGTGGCCTACTGGGAAATTACCCTGTAAGTTAAACGGTCAGTCCACCTCTGCAATGGAGAAAGGTTGGGGGGGGGGGATCTCATATACAATATCAATATACTTCAAGCACCAAAGAATGGTATTATGCTCGCTACGAAAACAGGTTCTCGAACTCTCTCAAAGAAAAATCCAGCTTTCGATTCCATCAGACAAAACTGCTGCAAATTGCTTAAGAAGGAACAGCATTTGTCATTATTTGTATTGGGATGGATTTGAAGTTCATGGGTTTCAACCCTCATATCTCCAAGACGGCCTCTCCCCTCACGCACCACCATGACACCTTCACTCCCCCAAGCAAGGTCTTCTGCAGGTGCCAATCTGCAAATACGCAAAATCAACAGCTGTCCGTTCACATGCCTTCTCCACTGAGGCCCCCACCTCATGGAATGGCCTGCCAGAGGAGAGCAAAAATAATAATAATAATAATAATCTTTCAATTTATTAATCGCTCAATCCTGCAGAGCTTGCTGGCTCTGAGCGATTTATTTATTTATTAGATTTTTATCCCGTCCTCCCACCGAAGCGGCTCAGGGCAGGTTACAACAATTAAAAACCAATAAAAATTAATACATCACGTCTAGAAAACCATCAATAAAACAGCCAATATAACTTATTAACATTAAGATTACAGTTAGAACATTACAGTTTATACATGGCGGTTTACAGTTACAGTTACTCATATACACACGGGGCTAACAATGATTCAAAGGGGTAAGGGAAGACAACATATAAATCTTTAAATCACACAGTTGACGGGGAGTTTGTTCAGCTGTAGGGTCAGACATGTTCCAATGGCATATTTCCCCTGTGTGGCTTGATGTCGTCAGCTTTTTCTCCAGGACTGCTTCAAGTTGCAACGCAGCACTGCCACCGCCTGGCCAGATGGTCCATTACAGGCTTTCTTGATGCCGAAGAGTTCTTTCTAGGCTTTCAATCTTATGCGCTGGACATTCCATTCACCGGCTAACACCTCCCTCAACGGGGGGTTTAGTGTGTCCACCCTCTCTAAGGAGTGGTACCCATTTTATCTACTCGCCGAAGCTTTCGAACCGCTGGGTGGACAGCGAGCTGGGGACAAGGCTGGTAGCTCACACCAGCACGGGGCTACAACTGACAGCAGTACTGTTCAGCTCAGATGTTTAAACCAGAGGATAAATCCCCTGTGCCACCGCTCCCACTGTCTTGGTTTTCCACAAACTACAAAAAACTGAATTATTCAAGGGGGCATGTCTGCGCAGATAAGAGAGTTGCCCTGCACTAAATGACTCACAAAGTTACTTGGACAAATTATTAGGGACTGTGGTCTATGCTACTGTACATAGCTTGCTGAAACCAGAATCCTGCTATGAAATTTAATGTGTTCATACTTATGCTTTGCTTCAGTTCTGTTTTTAGACTTATGATTGGTTCCCAACCCTAATTCCTATTGCATTGTTCACTGAATGTCCCATCCTGTTGACTACCTCTACGTAACCTGCCCTGGGTTCAGGTGAGAAAGGTGGACTATAAATAACTAAATAAAAATATAAATAATTTATAAGAGGCTCAGAGAGACAATCTGCCTTGACAGCAGTGTTTAAATATAATTAAATTGGTGTCGCCAGAATGATGTATGGAGAAACCTGTCCTGGCACTCAGGTGGCAGGAAAGGTGGGATAAAAGTATTAGCAATGTGAACAGTAAATGTGAATATATATTAGTCGCTGAACAATGTCATTATTTTCTCTCCAAAACACAACACTGTTACTGTGGTCGGTCAGACAAAAATATTGCAGGCTATTTTGGTGGCAAAAGTTGCTGCCTGGATTTGTGCCTTTCAGGACCCCAGACCTGCTCCTGGCACCCAAGCACCCATTGAACTGCAAGCATGCAGCATCATGATCATGTGAAAGGAAGAGCGAGAACCACAGGACCATGGACATCAGGAAGCACAAGAAAGCCTAGGAAATGTAGCATACTGAGGTGCAAGCCAGGAAGTGTTATACCTTCTCCCTCTATGCATACACCCTAGTAGGGGAAACGCTGCTCTACAGGTATCACAGTTCAGCAGTGAGGGCTCCATGTAAAGGTAAAGGTTCCCTTGCTCGAAAGCCAGTCGAATCCGACTCTAGGGTTGCGGTGCTCATCTCCGTTTCAAAGCCGAAGAGCCAGCGCTGTCCGAAGACGTTTCCGTGGTCATGTGGCCGGTATGACTAAACACCAAGGAGCACGGAACGCTGTTACCTTCCCACTGAAGTGGTACCTATTTACCTACTTGCAATGTCTTGCTTTCGAACTGCTAGGTTGGCAGGAGCTGAAACTAGAGATGAGAGCTCACTCCATCATGCGGCACCCGGGTCTCGTACTGCTGAACTACTGACCTTCTACAGCCTGCAGTTCAGCGTCTAACCACTTGAGCCACCGCAGCTCCTGGACCCCCCCCTCAAAAGGTCCCAACTGACTAGTTGAAGACCAGTGCTTTACAGTGTTTGAAGAAGATAGTTTCAGAGCATAGTGTTGGCTGATGCCGCCATGGGTTGAGCTGTGTTCTCCCTGCTCCCCTGCCTTCCCTCCCTCCTCCTGGAATGCACTCCAGGTTTCTTCCCGTTAGTCCATATTCCTGCCTAACCCCCATTCCTGACACAAAGTGTGTCATATGATGACCTGAGTACCTTTCTCAATAAACTGCACCTTTATCAAGGAACGTTGTTGAGCTTGATTGACTTGGGACTCTGACACATACCTGTGTTGGTCTGCAGTAGAACAGCTAGATACTAATCCAGTACCACCTTAAAAACCAAAAAGATTTTCAGGGTATGAGCTTTCAAGAGTCAAAGCCGAAGAAGATTTGACTCTCAAAAGCTCATACGCTGAAAATCTTGTTGGTCTCTAAGGTGCTACTGGACTCATATCTAGCATTCAAAGAGTTTTCCATGCGTGTTGACATGTTGCAGTCTTTACAACAGCCCCGAAAGGTAGGCCAGTACAATTATTTCCTTTTTGCATATAGGGGAAGGATGAGAGCACAGCTTGTTGAAGACCATCCAGCAGCTGAAGCAAGTGATTTGAAGGAGGGGGGCTCCCTCACCGGTAACTCAGGCTCTCACAATAAGATTCCACTCGCGCCTACTCAGAAGTAAATCCCAGGATTATTTTGATGATCTTAAGGGTGCCACTGGATTCAAGCCTTGGACTGCGCGTGACGCCACAGCGACCCCCGCTGACTGATTTAATAGCTACATGTGTTTCGGGAGCTAAGATTTAAAACAGTGCATTAAAGAAAGAGAATTTGGTAGATGAGAAAAGAGGATATACAAACGGGGGGAGGGAAGGGATACGGGGAGGAAAAAAAGAGCAAAAACAAAACCGACCTCGACTCTTACCAGGAATATAAACAAATCATATACGAGGAGGAAAAAACCACGTTCTCGGACCGGCAAACCGATTCTCCTTTTTTAAAACTCACCTCAGCGCACTCACTCTTTTCCCTTCATGGGCGCCGCCATATTTATTTCTTCGCTGCCAGGGGGGAAGGAGAAAGAGGGAAAGACGATAACGATGATGTCACCCGGTACGGGTGCCGCGAAGGCTCACGCTTCTTCCCGCTCGCCCCCGCCCACCCGCCCAGAGCGCGTTGACATGATGACGGACGGACTCGAGCGGCTGCGCGCGCACTCAACACGGGGTTTACTTATTGTGTGCCCCCTCTGTCCTGCTTTTACTTCGACAGGCACATGATTCAGGGAGAGTGGGGGGGGGGGAGGCAGAGAGAGAGAAAGGGGTGGAGCCAAAACGAGGTGAGTGACAGGAGAAAGAGCGCGCGCAATAGAAAGAGGAACGCGTCGGCCATGCGTGCGGGTGTGCGCGCGCGGTGCCTGTGTTATGCGCGAGGGGCTGTGTGGGCGTGGCCGAGGGGAGAAGGGAAGGTGGCCGGGGGGAGTGGGCGTGGCCAAGGCGCGCGGGCGCGAGGGGGCGTGGCCCGAGGCGTCCGCTCGCGCCGAGAGGGGCGGAGGGAGGGAGGCGAG